GTTAGAGGGTGCAGGTGCTGGTAGTGGTGGTGTGTGTGAGAGGTTCGTGGTGGTGGTGTGTATGAGAGGTGCTGGTAGTGTTGGGGGTGGTGTGAGTGAGAGGGTGCTGTTGGTGGTGTGTGTGAGAGGGTGGTGGTTGGCGGTGTGTGTGTGAGAGAGGGTGGTGGCGGTGGTGATGGCGTGTGTTACAGAGTGTTGGTGGTGGTGGCGTGTGTGAGAGGGTGGTGGTGGTGTGTGTTAGAGGGTGGTGGTGGTGCTGGTGGTGGTGTCTGTTAGAAGGTGGTGATGCTGGTGGTGGTGGTGTCTGTTAGAGGGTGCTGGTGCTGGTAGTGGTGGTGTATGGCAGAGGGTGCTGATGGTGGTGGTGATGTGTGTGAGAAGTTGCTGGTGGTGGTGGTGGTGGTGTGTGTGAGAGGGTTGTGTTGGTGGTGTTTGTGAGAGGGTGCTGGTGGTGGTGGTGGTGTGTGTGAGAGGGTGGGGGTGGTGCTGGTGGTGTGTGTTAGAGGGTGGTGGTGGTAGTGGTGTGTGTGAGAGGGTGCAGGTGGTGGTGGTGTCTGTTAGAGGGGGTGATGGTCGTCGTGGTGTCTGTTAGACAGTGGTGGTGGTGGTGGTGGAGTGTGTTAGTGGTTGGTGGTGGTGGTGTGTGTTAGAGGGTGGTGGTGGTGTGTGTTAGAGGGTGGTGGTGGTGTGTGTTAGAGGGTGGTGGTGGTGTGTCTTAGAGGGTCGTGGTGGTGATGTGTGTTAGAGGGTCATGGTGGTGGTGGTGATGTGTGTTAGAGGGTCGTGGTGGTGGTGTGTGTTAAAGGCTGGTGGTGGTCGTGGCGGTGTGTGTTGGAGGGTCGTGGTGGTGGTGGTGTGTGTTAGAGGGTCATGGTGGTGATGTGTGTTAGAGGGTCGTGGTGGTGGTGGTGATGTGTGTTAGAGGGTCGTGGTGGTGGTGGTGATGTGTGTTAGAGGGTCGTGGTGGTGGTGATGTGTATTAGAGTGTTGTGGTGGTGTGTGTTAAAGACTGGTGGTGGTCGTGGCGGTGTGTGTTGGAGGGTCGTGGTGGTGGTGGTGTGTATTAGAGGGCTGGTGGTGGTCGTGGCGGTGTGTGAGAGGGTGGTGGTGCTGCTGCTGGTGTGTGTTAGAGGGTGGTGGTGGTGCTTGTGTGTGTGTGTAAGAGGGTGGTGCTGGTGGTGGTGGTGGTGTGTGTTAGAGGGTGCAGGTGCTGGTAGTGGTGGTGTGTGTGAGAGGGTCTTGGTGGTGTGTGTGAGAGGGTGGTGGTGGGGGTGGTGTGTGTGAGAGAGGGTGGTGGCGGTGGTGATGGCGTGTGTTACAGAGTGTTGGTGGTGGTGGCGTGTGTGAGAGGGTGGTGCTGGTGGTGTGTGTGAGAGGATGCTGGTGGTGGTGGTGTGTGTGAGAGGGTGCTGGTGGTGGTGGTGGCGGTGTGTGTGAGAGGGTTGTGGTGGTGGTGTTTGTGAACGGGTGGTGGTGTGTTTGAGAGGGTGGGGGTGGTGCTGGTCGTGTATGTTAGAGGGTGGTGGTGGTGCTGGTGGTGGTGGTGTGTGTTAGAAGGTGGTGGTGCTGGTGGTGGTGGTGCTTGTTAGAGGGTGCTGGTGCTGGTAGTGGTGGTGTGTGTTAGAGGGTGGTGGTGGTGCTGGTGGTGGTGGCGTGTGTTAGACGGTGGTGGTGGCGGCGGTGTGTGTGAGAGGGTGGTGGCGGCGGTGTGTGTGAGAGGGTGGTGGCGGTGTGTGTGAGAGGGTGCTGGTGGTGTGTGTGAGAAGGTGAGGGTGGTGGTGGTGGTAGTGGTGTGTGTGAGAGGGTGCTGGTGGTGGTGGTGTGTGTTAGAGGGTGGTGGTGGTGCTGGTGGTGGTGGTGTGTGTTAGAAGGTGGTGGTGCTGGTGGTGGTGGTGCTTGTTAGAGGGTGCTGGTGCTGGTGGTGGTGGTGTGTGTTAGAGGGTGGTGGTGGTGCTGGTGGTGGTGGCGTGTGTTAGACGGTGGTGGTGGCGGCGGTGTGTGTGAGAGGGTGGTGGCGGCGGTGTGTGTGAGAGGGTGGTGGCGGTGTGTGTGAGAGGGTGCTGGTGGTGGTGTGTGTGAGAAGGTGAGGGTGGTGGTGGTGGTGTATGTTAGAGGGTGGTGGTGGTAGTGGTGTGTGTGAGAGGGTGCTGGTGGTGGTGGTGTGTGTTAGAGGGTGGTGGTGGTGCTGGTGGTGGTGGTGTGTGTTAGAAGTTGGTGGTGCTGGTGGTGGTGGTGTGTGTTAGAGGGTGGTGGTGGTGCTGGTGCTGGTTGTGGCGGTGTGTGTGAGAGGGTGGCGGTGTGTGTGAGAGGGTGGCGGTGGTGTGTGTGAGAGGGTGGCGGTGGTGTGTGTGAGAGGGTGGCGGTGGTGTGTGTGAGAGGGTGGCGGTGGTGTGTGTGAGAGGATGCTGGTGGTGGTGGTGTGTGTGTGAGGTGGGGGTGGTGCTGGTGGTGTGTGTTAGAGGGTGGGGGTGGTGCTGGTGGTGTGTGTGAGAGGGTGCTGGTGGTGGTGGTGGTGTCTGTTAGAGGGTGGTGGTCGTCGTGGTGTCAGTGGGTGGTGGTGGTGGTGGTGGAGTGTGTTAGTGGTTGATGGTGATGGTGGTGTGTGTTAGAGGGTCGTGGTGGTGGTGTGTGTTAGAGGCTGGTGGTTGTCGTGGCGGTGTGTGTAAGCGGGTGGTGGTGCTGCTGCTGGTGTGTGTAAGAGGGTGGTGCTGGTGGTGGTGGTGGCCTCTGTTAGAGGGTGCAGGTGCTGGTAGCGGTGGTGTGTGTGAGAGGGTCTTGGTGGTGTTTGTTAGAGGGTGCTGGTGCTGGTAGTGGTGGTGTGTGTTAGAGGGTGGTGATGTTGGTGGGGGTGTGTGATAGAGGGTGCTGGTGGTGGTGGGGGTGTGTGATAGAGGGTGCTGGTGGTGGTGTGTGTGAGAGGGTGCTGGCGGTGGTGTATGTGTGTTAGATGTGCTGGCGGTGGTGGTGTCAGGGTTGTGGTCGTCTTGGTGTCTGTTAGACGGTGGTGGTGCTGGTGGTGGTGTGTGTTGGAGGGTGCTGGTGGTGGTGTGTGTTGGAGGGTGCTGGTGGTGGTGTGTGTTGGAGGGTGCTGGTGGTGTGTGTTGGAGGGTGCTGGTGGTGCTGGTGGTGTGTGTGAGAGGGTGGGGGTGGTGGTGGTGGTGTGTGTTTGAAGGTGGTGGTACTGGTGGTGGTGGTGTTTGTTAGAGGGTGCTGGTGGTGATGTGTGTTAGAAGGTGGTGGTGCTGGTGGTGGTGATGTGTGTGAGAGGTTGGTGGTGGTGGTGTCTGTGAGAGGGTGGGGGTGGTGGTGTGTGTTAGAGGGTCATGGTGGTGGTGGTGTGTGTTAAAGGCTGGTGGTGGTCGTGGCGGTGTGTGTTAGAGGGTGGTGGTGGTGGTGGTGTGTGTTAGAGGGTGCAGGTGCTGGTAGTGGTGGTGTGTGTGAGAGGGTCTTGGTGGTGTGTGTGAGAGGGTGGTGGTGCTGGTGGTGGTGGTGTGTGTTAGAAGGTGGTGGTGCTGGTGGTGGTGGTGTTTGTTAGAGGGTGCTGGTGCTGGTAGTGGTGGTGTGTGTGAGAGGGTGGTGGTGGTAGTGGTGTGTGTGAGAGGGTGCTGGTGGTGGTGTTGTCTGTTAGAGGGGGTGGTGGTCGTCGTGGTGTCTGTTAGATAGTGGTGGTGGTGGTGGTGTGTGTGAGAGGGTGCTGGCGGTGGTGTATGTGTGTTAGATGTGCTGGCGGTGGTGGTGTCTGTTAGGGTTGTGGTCGTCTTGGTGTCTGTTAGACGGTGGTGGTGCTGGTGGTGGTGTGTGTTGGAGGGTGCTGGTGGTGGTGTGTGTTGGAGGGTGCTGGTGGTGCTTGTGTGTGTGTGTAAGAGGGTGGTGGTGGTGGTGGTGTGTGTGTTAGAGGGTGCAGGTGCTGGTAGTGGTGGTGTGTGTGAGAGGGTTTTGGTGGTGTGTGTTAGAGGGTGGTGCTGGTGCTGGTGGTGGTGGTGTGTGTTAGAAGGTGGTTGTGCTGGTGGTGGTGGTGTTTGTTAGAGGGTGCTGGTGCTGGTAGTGGTGGTGTGTGTTAGAGGGTGGTGATGGTGGTGTGTATGAGAGGGTGCTGGTGGTGGTGTGTATGAGAGGGTGCTGGTCGTGGTGGTGGTGTGTGTGTTAGAGGGTGCTGGTGGTGGTGTGTGTGAGAGGGTGGTGGTGGTGTATGTGTGTTAGATGTGCTGGTGGTGGTGGTGTCTGTTAGAGGGTGGTGGTCGTCGTGGTGTCTGTTAGACGGTGGTGGTGCTGGTGGTGTGTGTTGGAGGGTGCTGGTGGTGTGTGTTGGAGGGTGCTGGTGGTGTGTGTTGGAGGGTGGTGGTGGTGGTGGTGTGTGTTGGAGGGTGGTGGTGGTGGTGGTGTGTGTTGGAGGGTGGTGGTGGTGGTGGTGTGTGTTGGAGGGTGGTGGTGGTGGTGTGTGTTGGAGGGTGGTGGTGGTGGTGGTGTGTGTTGGAGGGTGGTGGTGGTGGTGGTGTGTGTTGGAGGGTGGTGGTGGTGGTGGTGGTGTGTGTTGGAGGGTGGTGGTGGTGGTGGTGGTTTGTGTTGGAGGGTGGTGGTGGTGGTGGTGGTTTGTGTTGGAGGGTGGTGGTGGTGGTTTGTGTTAGATGGTTGTGGTGGTGGTTGTGTTTGTGTGTGTTAGAGGGTAGAGGGCACCGGAGATGGTGCTCACTGGAAGGATATTGCTAAAGGCAAAACCGTAGAAGGTGCTCTCCAGAAGGACAAGGCAAGAGGTAGTGCAGGAGATGGCACACATCAGAACGACGATGCTAGAGGCGGTGCCTGACAGGGCGTACTCCGGAAATTCAGTGAAGGTGATCAGGCACCTGAGACAGGCAGTGCTGGTGAAGAAGGAGCGCGCGTAACTTTTGCAGTGAACAAAGCTGAGGAAGCAGCAGGTTGTCGTCTTCCAATGGCAGATGAAGCTGAAACAGGAGCTTGAGGCATTGCTCCCACGACAGGCAACAAAGGAGAAGCGTAAGGTGGGGGTGCTCCCGTGAAGGTGGATGCTGGATAAGCAGAAAGAAAAGGGTGCGCGTAAAATGGATGAAATTGGAGAATCCGAACGAGAGTGCTCTCGCATGAGAGAAGATGCTATAAAGGGCAACTGAGAGGTTGGTCTCACGATAGGCTATGCTGGAGACGCTTTCTCCCGGGACAGGTGATGCTGGAAAGGGCAGTCTGCCTAGGGACAGTGCTAGCGAAACAGAAAGCAGCGCTCATCTGGTGGATGATGCTGACAAGCTGCACAAAAAGGAGCTCCCCCAACGGATGGTGCTGTAGATGTTGTTGGAGAAGGCCCTTCGCGAATGGACGATGCCAGAGGCAGTGCTCCAGGAAGCGCTATTCAGAAAGATTAAGCCAGAGGTGGTGTTGGAGACGGTGCTCACCACGTATACGATGCTAGCAACACTACAAAAGGTTCTGCTCATAGTAAGGACTATGCTAGAGGCGGTGCTCACCAGAAGAACGATGCAAAGGGTGGTTGCCAGGCACGGTGCACACTCGAAGGGAAGGCAATGAAGACAGAGCAACCATGACACATGGTGCTGGAGAGCTCAACCAAGAGAGTGCGCCTGCGACACATGGCGCTGGAGATGGCAACGGAGAGGGCGACCACAAGATGGAGAATGCTGAAGAGGGCAATCAAGAGGGTGCTCCCATGAAGGATGACACTGGAGAAGCCTAAAAAGACAGCGAACCACCACAGGCGACGCTGGAAAAGCGCAAGCATTGGACACGTCTGCAGACGTAGCTTGAGAGGAAAATGGAGCGGGTACTGCCGTGGAGGATGATGGTGGAGATGCCAATGGAGAGGGCGCTCCTGTGACAGGCGACACTGGTGAAGGCACTGGAGAGGGTTGCTCCCATGACGGGCGGTGCTGAAGAGAGCAGTCTGCCAACAGACATTGCTGGAGAAACAGAAAGCGGCGCTCGTCTGGTGGATGATGCCGACAAGCTGCACCAAAAGGAGCTCCCACAATGGATTATGCTGTCGATGTTGCTGTAGAATACACTTAGCCAATGGACAATGACAGAGGAGGCAGTTCTCAAACCTCTAATCAGAACGATTAAACAGAAGAGGTGCAGGAGATGGTGTTCTCCAGATAAACAATCCCTGTGGTCTACAAAAGATGCTGCTCACAATAAGGATAATCTATTGGTCCCACAATGGATGTTGCTGTAACAGGCAATGGTGACGTTGCTTGGGCAATAGACAATGCTGAATTGGGCAATGGAGGGGGCGCTCTCACGATGAATGACACTGTATAATTACAAGGAGAGGGCACTCCTGCAAAGGATGATGCTGGAGAAGCAGGAGAGGACACTATGACATAGGAGTTCCTACTTCCGTTTCTCCAATGATGTACGATGCTGGAAAGGACTACAGAGATGGCCCTACTGCAATGGATGACTCTCTAGAGGGCAACAGAGAAGGGAGCTCTGGGAATGGACAATGCTGAAGAGGGCAATGGAGTGGGTGCTTCTGTGAGGGATGATGCTGTAGAAACGTAAGGAGAGGGTGCTCCCACAAAGGATGATGCTGGAGAAGCAGAAGGAGTGGGTGCTCCCATGATGGATGACGCTGGAGGAGCATAAGGAGTGGGTGCTCTCACAATGGACGATGCTTTAGAAGCAGAAGGAGAGGGCGCTCCCACGACGGACCATGCTGGAGAGGCAGTGTCCTGCAGCTCATGAAGCTGAAGAAGCAGGATGATATGCTACATTACGGATGATGCTGGAGAATCATCAGGACGCTGCACTCCCCTGACGGATGATGCTGGTGTGGCAGCATCAGGACTAGGTATTCCCTGAGTGGATGTAGACTGTGAAGTAGGAGGTTGTATTCCCCTGATGAAGAGGAAGCTGGAAGCAAGGCTGTGAGGCCCTCAGTCTCTCCCCATTGTAGAACTGATTGGTTTAGCAGTACTCTGCGTCATTGCCACATCGACAATGAGCACATGCTCATTGTGACACAACTGTGTTGTCATCATTGAGTTACTTTTCTTCATAATTGGCACTTTTTCTCTGTGAGAAGACAACTCTGGGCAGATATCCATCATGGATCCCAGGCCTCTTGGTGCCCTTCTCTTTGTTTCCGTCTGTCAGAAATCAAGGCAGAAGCAATCTAAGTACTTTTTTTTTTTTTTTTTTTTTAGCCTCTTGTATCATAGCAGTTCCTTATCCAGTCATGTTGGACTACATACTGTTACAATATTACAGTAGATGGAGACTTGCAGCAAGAGGGAAGCGCATTGATTACAGCTACGTTCAGGACAGAATTAAAAAGTGTCATTCTTCTTGAAGTTTTACAGAACACTGTTATACATTTCAGACTTCCCTGAAAATCCTCATCCCAGAGAATGGTTTAGCATAGATTTTCTATTAGCTCTTCATCCATGTCCTATAGTTCTGCCATACGCTCTGGCATCTTCCATTTTAAGTTTTTACTGGAGGGGTTATTTTCTATTTCAAGAAACTACCCGCCATTACAAATCTGTTTAGCAGTTCAGCTTTTAAGGACTGGGCCTGAGATGCACCTTATTTTGCACTGCTGCCTCTTTCCTATATACAAGGATACCCACCACAGCCACGGTTGGGCCCTAGTGGCTCTATGCTGCCCTGTAACCCCACAGCTGCTCAGTCTCCCCCGGTGGGGCGAACAAGCCAACTGGAAATGCAATAAACCCCATAGGTTGAGAAAGAGTTCAATACCATGATAGTAGAAGAAAACAGCATCAAAAACACAACAGCAACCGTAGCCACAACGCAATTACTCACCACTCACCGACCAATGCATGCCATAAATTCCAGTGCTTGCCAAATGCTGCGCACTGCAGGGCCACCACTGACCGACTGACTGCCAGAGAGGGGCTGCCTTTGCCCCTGCCCACAGCTTCACAGTGCCTTTGTGACATCACAAAGGGTTTGGAACGGCCCCTGACCAATGGCAGCACTGCCCTTGGCCCCGCCCCACACCCATCATTGCAGCGGCTCCACCCGAACCAGCAGCTGTGATTGGCCAGGCTCTGCTTCAGTCACTCCGCAGGAACAGGTGTGGTGTTAGCACCTCCTAGCTGCATCCAGGGCTCTCCCTGCCCCCTCAGCCTGTCTCAGGGGCTTTACAAAGCTCACCTCAGCAGCTCTCCCTGGGTGTAGGCTGAAGGCAGGTTGAGAAGGCAGTATTAAAAACGTTCTGTTAGTACCTCCTGTTGCTGTTTTGCCTTCACCTGTGGAACTGTGCCTCTGCTGGGTGTTATGCAGTCATTCAGCCTGTTTGTGAGGCCAACAGGAATGCAGTCCTGGTCCCTGAGCGATGTAGGGGATAAGATACATAGTGCCTCTCAACCCGAGGAGCGCTATCTTTCATGTCTGCTCTGTGTAGCAGAGATACATCAAAAGTTTTTGAAGCCCATAGACAAAGTTCATAGACGTATGGATCCTGATGTCTTCCAATCACCTTGAACTGGACCCCCCCCAGAACTTGATTCTTGATGCCCTTCCTGTGATGTGAGGAACTCAGTGTGTAATAACCAAACTAAAATTGAGAATCAGAAGTGTGGGATGTGTGTGTCCTTAAATGCTTCAAATGGATTTTGCTTCATATCACCATGTTTCTACAAAAATAGCATATATTTATGTGATTTAACTGAACCCATTATTGACTCACTGTAGATGTAGGATGTGCTTCACTTGGGCAGCTGCCCTGGGCAACCAGACCTGGTGGATGGCAGCTCTGTCTGCTGCAGGGATTGGAGCTTTATGATCTTTAGGGTCCCTTGCAACCTCAGCCTATCTATGATTCTATGAAATATACACAGAAAACTTAATTGAATTTCTGTTTACGAGGAAAAAAGACCATTGCATCTGTGTGCCGTCACTAGAGTTCCTGGTGCAAAGTCCAAACTCTCCCACCCACTGTCACTTCTCCCTGGGCAGACCACTAAGCCTGTGGAATGACAGCAGCAGTTCATGCAGGCAGGCTTGGTGCCAGGTGAGTTCAGGAGTTGACAGAGCACGCAGTGGCAGTAGGGTGGATTTTCTGACACATTTTAGGACTAATAACACAGATAACATACCTCCATGCTCTGCAGCAATGGACAGATCAGTAGCAATGGGACAGATCAATATGATGGCAAAAAGGCATTTCACCAGAGGACTGCTCCAAAGTGTTAGATTTCAGTAGGAAGATCTTTATTCAAAGGTCAGCGAGATGCTGACACAAGCTACCCAGAGAAGCTGTGGGTGCCCCATCCCTGGGGGCATTCAAGGATGGGTAGGATGAGGCCCTGATCAGCCTGATTTGGTAGACAGCAATCCTGCCCACAGCAGGGAGTTGGAGCTGGCTGGCCATTAACGTTCCTTCCCATTCAAACCATTATATGATTCTATTATATGATTAAGTCGCTTCTATCTGAACACCAATTTGCAGCCAGAATGCTTGAGGTGTGACTTTGGAGAACATTTTCTGGGTCTGTTTCATTTAAGAAGAATCCAGTTCATGAACTCAACACTGCTTCAAGATGTGGAACTGAGTGCAGCGGACTCAAAGAAGGGCAAGCCCATTGCATGGGGCCCCCTTCAGCCACAGAGTGCTGCACACACACACAGAATGTTTCCCAATGCTTCTCGTGAGAACCAAAGGGAATTTGCTGACAGATGGGGGAACTGCCCACAGTCCTCTCTACTACACTCCTGCTACACTAAACAACAGCGAATGTCTGTAGAAGCAGCTAAATCAGAACGACTTCTGTGTATAGCTACAACTACAGTTAAAAAAAAAAACAGTTATTCCACAAATAATACATCAGTAAAGACCTTCAGAAAGTATCTCGTATACAACGTGTCCTTTGCTGTATATTCTGTGTTGAGGAGTGTGTGTGCATATGAACTGAGATCAGGGGATTTAATAATGACATGAAATTCCTGATTTCCCTCTGAAATCTGGTATGGAGGGGAGCTGTGAACCTCCTCCCAACTCTCAGTAGATAGTAGCTGCCAACACAATAAATGAGTTTGCTTGGTTTGCTGACTTGGTAGACAACCAAAAAAATACCCCAAAATGAAGTGGTAAAGGGCAAATAGCTGACCCTTCTGGCTGCAGGAGCCTCTTTTCAGGCAACA